AGTATTGAAGTGTAAGGTTACAGTCTAACTCTATAACTGAACCTTACACTTCAATACTAACACACACCTCACATGCAATTACAGTCTTCAGTTATAGAGTTGTTGCACGTGAAAGCGTGTGTTAGTATTGAAGTGTAAGGTTACAGGCTTAACTTATAGAGTTGTTGCATGTGAGAGTGTGTGTTAGTATTGAAGTGTTAAGGTTACAGTCTTCAGTTATAGAGTTGTTGCATGTGAGTGTGTGTGTTAGTATTGAAGTGTAAGGTTACAGTCTTCAGTTATAGAGTTGTTGCGTGTGTTTGAAATAACTGAATAAACAGAGACGGCAGTAACACTTCTTTAAGATCAATAAAATGAATTCTGTAAAATAGGAGATCCCATTCACTAGTTTACTTCATTTTACCGCTATATAATACGACTTTCCGTTTCTTGAAACAGTTCCACCGAATGACATACATCACCATGTCTACCCAGTGACCTCCTATTTCCAAGGTCAAGAACACGATTACAAAGTGGTGTGCTACTTCGGTAGTTGGGCAGTTTATAGACCTGGTGATGGAAAGTTTAAGATTTCAGATATTGACCCTTTCATCTGCACACACTTGATATACGGTTTTACAGGCCTGGGTCCTGATAACAAAATTCGAATACTTGACCCCTTTAACGATGTGGCAGACAACTATGGAAAAGGTGACAAGTTTTTGTTGTTGTTGTTTTTTTTAATTATTCTATAAAATTACAATTCAATCTACAATGATACATCATATTTGTACTTAAGATATCCTATTTTTGGTGTTCGTTTTTAATGCTTGTTTCTCACACGACATTTTATTTTCCAAAAGCGGCTTATTATCACTTCAACGCCCTCAAAAAGATCAACGTTAACCTGAAAACGCTGATAGCAATTGGGGGTTGGAATGAAGGGTCTGTGAAGTATTCCAATATGGCTGCTAATCCCGCATCCAGAAAAGTTTTCATCGACAGTGTGGTACAGTTCTTAAAGCAGTATAAGTTCGATGGTTTGGACCTGGACTGGGAGTATCCTGCTGCTCGAGGTGGCAAACCAGAGGACAAACAAAACTTTGTGACCCTTATTCGGGTAAGAGTGCAGGAGCTTAGGTATTGGTTAATAACCCAATATTTACAAAAACTACATTTATAGGCTTAAAAATATGATGATATTAAGTTGAAGAACCATAAAGTTTCACTATTTCGTTGTTCATCCCGATATTTGTTTTTTTCTTTACTTTTATTTCTACACACTTGTCCGTTACATTTCGGCCCGACATGGTCAGGTGGTTAGGGCGCTTGACTTGCAATCTGAGAGTCGCGGGTTCGAATCTCCGCCTCACCAAACATACTCGCCCTTTCAGCCGTGGAGGTGTTATAATGTGACGGCCAGTCCACTATTCGTTGGTAAAAGAGTAGCCCAAGAGTCGGCGATAGGTGGTGACGACTTCTCTCTAGTTTTTCACTGCTAAGTTAGGGACGGCTAGCGCAGATAGCCCTCGTGTAGCTTTGCGCGAAATTCAAAGCAAACCGTTACTTTCTAATAAATTGTTCAAATTTAATTTCGTTCATAGTTATGAAGATTATAATGTTTTTTTTTATATACAGGTGTCTCCAGCATCGCTTCCCAGTACCACAGATAATTTTACTTTAACAAATATATTGATATATTTAACATTTTGTAAAACTGATTGACTCACCTTACGATTTAAAGATGTACTATCAAAACTCAGTTTGCGAAAAAACAAAACTACTAATTCATATGTCACCTTTATCTCTAAAACTTATACTTTATTTTTTCTTCTTCCTTTACAACTGATTATTTTATGGTCAAAAATGTTCCAGTGATTACTGTGCGTCTTTCAGAATTCTTTAATGTCTAACCCATCGGACAGATTACACCATCAATATTATCGTAAGGTAAAATTAATAAAACTTTTGTTTTGATACATGGGAACCAAAGAAAACGTTTTGAAGAATTATAGGTTATTTTGAAAACTACACGAGGGCTATCTGCGCTAGCCGTCCCAAATTTAGCAGTGTTTGTTTGTTTGTTTTGAATTTCGTGCAAAGCTACACGAGGGCTATCTGCGCTAGCCGTCCCAAATTTAGCAGTGTTTGTTTGTTTGTTTTGAATTTCGCGCAAAGCTACACGAGGGCTATCTGCGCTAGCCGTCCCTAATTTAGCAGTGTAAGACTAGAGGGAAGGCAGCTAGTCATCACCACCCACCGCCAACTCTTGGGCTACTCTTTTGCCCACGCACAATGGGATTGAGCGTCACATTATAACGTCCCCACGGCTGAAAGGGCAAGTACGTTTGTTGGAACGGGGATTCGAACCCGCGACCCTCATCTTACGAATCGAGCTCCCTAACTACCTGAGAAGACCTTTGGGGATGTAATAAAATTATTTTATTTTAGGCTATTTTATAAGATTTGTAGCTTTATGTACATATATATGTATGTATAGTTAAGCCCAGTATTTTTTCAACTGAGCTTAACGTTAGCGCTCGCGTGACTGGAATAAATATATCACGATCAGTAACGTTTCGAAACTAAATCATGTTAAAAAATATACATTATGAGCCATCTGGTTTTAGTTAAAATATAGTAAGTATAAATCACGACACAACTTCACTGGAACGAACGTTTGTTTGTTTATTGTTAAGCACAAAGCTACAAAATGGGTTATCTGTGTGTAATATGACAATAGATTTACTACTAGGCCAACAGATGGAGCGACGTGCTTAAGTTGAATAACGATTGTGACTCGTTTGAATATGTTAGTGTATTATACTCTTAGAATGTCGAGAATATTGTTGTTTTGAGCTAAACTGTGACGCTGTAACACGTAAGTTTATTGGTGGATGACGAGAAAGTAGCGGCTTTCATTAGGCTTCAAAAATTTCACTTTTGTTTTTAATTCAAAAACACAGACGGCCAAACAATTTTTCAAACGCAGTTTTGTTTTAATATATCAGTGCCACTGGGTCTATTCGTTTTTAAAAATTACACTTCTAGCTAACTAAACGAGTTTTAAACACAGTTAATTTTATCGTATGCGTAAAAGTTAGTCATAGAGGGCGCTCGATTTTGTTTGCATTCAAGCACAAAACTAAACAATGGGCTATCTGTGCTCTGCCTATCACGGGTATCGAAATCCAGTTTATAACATTGTAAGTCCCCAGACATACCACTGTGCCAGTGGAGGGCAAATTGTTTGTTTGTTTGCAATCAGACACAAAGCTACACAATAGGCTATCTGTGCTCTGCCTACCACGGGTATCGAAATCCAGTTTATAACATTGTAAGTCCCCAGATATACCACTGTGCCAGTGGGGGGCAAATTGTTTGTTTGTTTGCAATCAGACACAAAGCTACACAATGGGCTATCTGTGCTCTGCCCACCACGGCTATCGGAACCAGTGTTGTAAGTCCGCAGACATGCCGCTGTGCCGCAATCAAATTCGAATTAAAAAGGTCATTCTTTACAATAACAGTTATTTATAATTTTTTTTTATAAAAGTTAATAACTACATAATTTACATACTTTAACTTATTCTTGACATATCTTTCATTTTTTATTAACATATATTAATTGTTTTAAACAGGAAATTAAAAACGAATTCAACAAGTACGGCTTTTTATTAACCGCAGCCGTTTCAGCTGGCAAGCATTTTATCGGTCCCGCCTATGACGTCCCTCAAGTTTCAAAGTAAGTACTATTCATTGAACAACTTCCATGATAATACAAACTACTCATACTCAGTGTTAAAAAAACCGTATATTAACACATTGACTGCTGATCCTCCGTATAGAGTACGGTCCGCCTCCGGTAGTTGAATGCGAGTGTGCTGTGTACGATGTACGGCTCGCAAAAATTCCGCGCGCGTTTAAAGCAGCCGCTGTCAAAGGGTTAATTCACTTAAAAATTATATTTTGAGTTCATTCACTCAAAATTAATATCATAAGGTCAATGGTTGTAATACTCAATGGTACAAAAAGTTAATATTGATTCACACAAATATACTCTTTTGAGTTCAGTGATGGCAACACTCAATGATAAAAAGCGTATATTAATTCACACGAAAAAATCCTTTTTAAGTCCGTCGATATGTGGGTTAAACCAAATACAAATAGTTCTATAATAGTTAACCTTTCAGTTCTTTTCTGTTTTCAGTTTTAAAATTGTATTCGTGTTGCTTTGTGATACAAAGTCTAGAGCAGGTTCCTTAATAAAAATATTAAATGATTCAAAGATCAGATTCTTTCCGATACCAGGCCCGGCAAGTCCAGGTGGTTAGGGCGTTCGACTCGCAATCCGCGGGTCACGGGTTCGAATCCCAGTCCAATCAAACATGGTGTAAGACCGCCAACTCTCTGGCTACCAAAGAATAGTGGGATTGCTCGTCACATTATAACGCCCCCATGGCTGAAAGGGCGAGCATATTTGGTGTGACAGGGATTCGAACCCGCAGATTGCGAGTCGAGCGCCCTAACCACCTGGTGGCCGTGCCGGGCCGAATACGTTAGGGAATAAGCAACAATTCAGTAAAACACTTTTTTTTTGAAACCGATATACAGCCCGATGTTGAAATGTTTTTGAATTGACCAACTTTATTTTTATCTTTCTGGTTTGGCTAGAAGAAATATTCATAGCAAAAAATTGGGGGTTTGCGATTTTTTAACAACTCCGCGTCTGTACGCGGTTTGGTCTCTCAAATACAAATGAATTCCTTTTGTAGACCTTTACTGTTTTCGGTCAGTCAGGATCAATAAAATAAGGACATGTTTAAGACAAGACAAAAATGATGTTCACTTCACCCTTAGTTTTATTTTACTTATACAGTTACCTGGATTTCATCAACGTCATGTGCTACGATTATCACGGAGGTTGGGAGACCTTCACAGGTCACAACGCCCCCCTTTACCCCAGACCTGATGACAATGAACTTAACCAGATCTTGAATGTGGTGAGTATATCATTAGACGCGAATTACGAAAATCATTCCTCGGGATACTTTAACAAATGTTTCTTTGTTTTAGAGCAGAATCACATTGGGCTATCTTTTGTGTCCACTGCGGGAAATCGAACCCCGGATTTTAGTGCTTTAAGCCCGTAAACGTATTGTTGTCTCACCAGGTACCTTTTAAAATAAGCAGGTTCTTTAGATTATAATGAAACAGCAGGGGGTCTCAAATTGTTGCTGATATTGAATCCAGAGAATTAAATAAAGAACGATTAACTTTCTGCTATTTAGAAAAAGAAAATACAAAAATTGTTTGTATCGTTTACTGGAGGTTATTTATAAAATAGGGTTATTTCCTATTTCGTTTCTGTAAAATATGGCCATGACTTGGGATTTAGTTTACAAAAATCACCAGTATTTCAGATTTTTCTGATAAACTTTTCTGGACAAATCATTATCTCAATATAATAATAGGATATTTCTAGTTTTCATAAGAACCTATGTACTTTAGTTTGAACTGGTTTTCACAAAACTCTGCCTACTTTAGTTAACTGTACAGACTTTAGTTTGAACTGGTTTTCACAAAACTCTGCCTACTTTAGTTAACTATACAGACTTTAGTTTGAACTGGTTTTCATAAAACTCTTGTTTCATACTTTTTGTTATGTATACTTGCACTAAACAACCAAGAGTCGATGTATATCATTACACCGGGATCACTGATAGTATTATATATTTTAAAAACGATGTTATAAAAGTCAGTATTTTGTGTACTTTCAGAACTTCTCAATAAATTATTGGATTTCTCAAGGAGCCGCTAGAAACAAGCTAATCCTTGGAATGGGTTTATATGGGCGTTCATTCACCCTTTCCAGCGCTTCCAACACTAGCTTGGGAGCTCCAGCGCCACAACGCGGCGAGGCTGGTCCCTACACTAGGGAAAAGGGCTCCCTTGGGTACAACGAAGTGAGTGTTTCGTTATTTTTAACAATTAAATACAAAATTTAAAGAATTATTCACTATTGGATAATTTTCAAGATATTTTTATATAAATCATAGAGAGTTTTTACACATTAGGTGACGCGCTCCTCTGTCGTGGATTTTAAGTAAATATTTTTCAAATTCAGTTGTTTTGTCTGAAACAACACGACGTTTTGCAGATTTTGATCGTTTACATAAACTGTATATCAATACTCAAAATTTCATATTTTATTAATTTTTGACTTACTAACATGAGTGATATGTTTCAGATTTGTGAATCCCAAATGAGAGAGCCTTGGACTATCGTTCAAGACCCCTACTACATGGCACCCTATGCCTATAAGGGCAGACAGTGGGTTGGCTATGATGATGTAGAGAGTATTAAACGAAAGGTGAGATCAACATTTGTTTAATTTAGTAATTGCATGATTTCTGTATAATTTCAGGACTGGTCCTAGAGTACAGGGGGTTCGGGTGCAAGAATTAATGGTGCCCCCCCCCCCGGCTACAATGTACATGAAATTATATCTATATATATGCATGAGGAAGAGGGGGATTAGAGACAAATATATATAACCATGCATGATGCATCTGGAACTCAGTTTTAGTAATGATCTATCTAGTTTTCAAACATAAAAAAAAAATGGAAGCAGATGCAATAATAAAAATAAAAAAGAAAATGTACTTACAAATTTCTAGTTCAAGTGGAATTAAATTTTCTTGCACTATCACTGGCCCACTCCTCTATAAAGTTTTCGAAATTGCAGCGGTAATTTAGATGTATTTCGATTTTGTGTGTGTGTGGTTACGATGTCGGTCAAATTTACCTACCTTGTATAAAATTAGGTTAGATAAAATAGCAGATAAAATATAAAGTTTTACTGAAAACAAACATTTGATATCTATCTAGGAGGTTTTAGAGATTACGCAAATGAAATTTGAGATGAAGAAAAGTATTTTTAATCTTAACATGAAAATCACTTTGCACGCGGACTAGTAAAAAAAAATACTCGATATATTCACGGAGAAATCTTTTTTTTCGGGTTTATTAAAAATACTTCACCAAAAATAAGATTGGGATTTGGGACCTCCTTCAATCTGGGGCCCAGGTGTCTCGCACCCCCCAAACCCCCAAGGGCCGGTGTGGTTAATGATTTTCCCCCACATTTCTATAGTATAGAATGAAGCTGGTTAGTGATTTTTTCCACATTTTTGTACTATAATCTATAAGCTAAAGCTGTTTATTGAACTTCTTCCCAGGTTTCTATACTATAAGCCAAAGCCATCAGTGTTTTTTCCCCATATTTTTGAAAGTACTGTAAACTAAAGCTATTTATCGAATTTATTTCCAAATTTCTGTGGTATAAACTGAAACTGTTCATCTGCTTTCTTCTTACATTTTTTTTCGTGTAAGCTGAAATGTTTTTCGACTTTCCCCCTTTTCTGAAGAATAAACAAAAGCTGTTCATCTACTTTCTTCTCTCACTAATTAAATTTAATCTGAAGTTGATCATCGACTTTCTACGAATCTCATGTTTCTGTAGCATAAATTGAAGTAATTTATCGACTTTCTTCCCACATTTCTGTAGTGTAATCTGAAGCAGTCTATCGACTTTCTTCCCACATTTCTGTAGTGTAATCTGAAGCAGTCTATCGACTTTCTTCCCACATTTCTGTAGTGTAATCTGAAGCAGTCTATCGACTTTCTTCCCACATTTCTG